TGAAGTTTCTGGGACACATAATGAGAAAGTAGTACCTGGAGAATCTGATACCCACGGGTCGAATAGAGCGGAAAGACAGACAAAGGAAAGGAACGCGTGACATACCTGGCGAGCTTGAGCAGGTGGATGATAGAACATGGTCTGGGGGAGGAAGCAGAGGTAAGGAGCCTGTTGAGAGCTGCAAGAGATAGAGGGAGGTGGAGAGTCATGATCGCCTACGTCCTGAATGACATGTCACATAAAAAGAAAGAAACATGAAACTAAAGGATGAAGCTCATCTGAAAATTTTTTTCCATGATGTGTAGAACTTATTAGGTTGGTGCAAAAATAATGACGTAATAATGTCGTTTTTGACGTATTCTTTAACGTAAAAAAACGACATTATTACGTCATTATTTTTGCACCAACCTAATACTTTACTCCATGCTTTCCAGTCAACTTTAATCTGCAAAATTTAAATGCAATTTCAATCGCCATCTGTTGTCTTCTTTCATTAATCCTCCTCTCTCATTAAAGATGTTCCTCTTTCACACCCGGTAATCCCTTGCGATTCAGTGACTTTACTGCTACGCTTAAGGCGAACTCGGCTAAAAAAAAATTTGCGATAGTATAGCGATGGGAATGAGACATTGCGTCTGTGACAAACACGCTAATATGCCCAGAATACATATACACCCACAAAATAGTGTAAATAAATCATCTTTTGTCCTTTCTTCAATTCTCTGTATACTCAGTCTTTTCTCTCACTTACACTCTCTGTAGCCAACCCCCCCGCCCTGCGAACTAGGCTAGTGACATTCTCACCTTGGTTGGGGTGAAAGATTAAAAAATGTCTTGTGTGTGTTTAATTCTGCGGAGAAATTAGTCATGGTTAAGTGTAATAAGCCAAATACTCAACAAAAGGAATTTAAAAAGTTCTCAATAAACAGTAAAATAAATGAAGAAAAAAAAACGAGGCTTAATATTGCAAACCAAACTAAACATTAACCAACTTAATCATGCGCAATAACTCTTCACCATCAAGTAGTGTTATGGGAATAAATTTAACTCTGTCAAGGTTAGTAAATTAGAAATAAGTACATTCAGCTCGGCAGTATTTCATTTGCAACAGATTTCCGCATCGATGTTTCTCTGATCACTTCACTCTTAACTTCATTAAATCAAGAGTAAATCTATAGCCGTCCTCCATGATCATCACTTAACACACGTTCTTCAATTTATATCAAGCTCTTGTAACAGTAATGCTATACGAGTCTTGTATTGGACGCATTTTAATATAAAAAAGGGTTACATTACGAGCCACCTGCAAAGTTGTCATATTCGTTTGGTTGCATTAATGTAGCAATAATTATTGCTATGCAGAATACTGCGTTGCTATTCTGTCAGCTTTTCGATTCTAGGTGTTAGCGTCACAATTGTCAACTAAAACTCCTTCATAAAAACACTTGCCAGCAAGAAGGTAAATTCTCCAGAAAAAAACACGTTTTTTTTTTCTTCTTCTTCCCTGTCACTTTCAAGCACACATTTACAAACTGCAATCAGATATAAAAAAAATAAAAAAAAGATTTAGGACACAGACGAAGGAAAAGAAAAACGTTCGCCTAAAATGTCAATTTGAAACAAAAGTTATCGAGAATATTTCTTTAAGAATATTTTAATGACACATTTGACACATTTCAGAATATAGAAGAGGAGTCACTCCATTAGACACCAAATTGTTCACACAAGTCTACGAATTTTAGTTATCATTATCAAAACGTTTCGGTTGTTGTACGTTTGTGCTATAGTCAGGTACCTGTCGTAGTTGGTAATTCTTATATCATTCCAAGTAAATATGGACTGTTTGAATTCACAAGATTTTATTAGCTAGTTTATTCACTATTTCCCCCTGGGCCTTTCGCTTTCAATATGTCCAAAGAAGGATCTGTAATGTAATCGATCCTGAACTGGCAATGACATGGCTTCTCACTGTCCTTTTTACAAATATTTTCGTGGCAACTGCCCTGACGAGCATTTTCTCGAGTACCCCGACTACATGGATTTAAGCGTGCTACTTCATTGCCATCTAGGTCCCACCCGCTTACTGCTGAAATAGCTAATTTAACCGACTTGTAATCCAACATTTGCATTTCTCGCGCTTCTCGCTTGTGAACCTCCACTCCATTTACTTTCTTCCCTGATAAATACAATCTTCAAAATTTTAAATGCAACGTCAATCGACTTCTTGAATCCCGTTCATCTGTTGTTCCTTTCTAAACTTAGTCTTTTTTTCTCACTTCCATTCTCTGTAACCCCACCCTGCATACTATGCTACATTCCTGTCTTGCTTGGGGTGAAAGATTAAAAAATGTCTTTTGTGTGTTTTATTCTGCGGAGTAATTAGTCATGGTTAAGTGTAATACGCCAAATGCCCAACAAACGGAATTGACAAAGTTCACAAGAAACATTAAAAACAAAAGGAACGAAAAGAACGGGTCTTAATATTGCAAACGAAACTATA